TCACGATACAAACTTAACTGCCAAACTTTGAATAGTTTAGTGCTATCGATCGTAATCGATTGTAATGCATCGCGCTGCAGTTTAAAGCTAGTATGTCGTACATATATATAGTTTTGCAATATATATGGGTATTCCGTAGAGTGGAGTTTTAAATGTGTAAATGCGACTTAAAACTTGAATACTTACAATTAGCGGAGCTTGTCCGGCCATACTCACTTGGCAACCGGCATTTGGAGCAGCGTACTTGCCTTTGCTAGAAACAGCTGATTGGCGGACAAAGAAATGTGAGTGCAATGTTTTTGATTAGAAGATATTATAGCAGCGTTAAACGCATTGCCCAAATAGCTGGCGCAAACAAAGCAGGTGACACGCTACAAGTACAGGTAAAGAGAAAAGGCTTGGCTAACTATTATGTGATTTATGATTTTTTTTTTTTTTTATTATAGGGCTGGATAAAGAATGTGCGACGTTTGAAAAACAATATATTTTTGGACATCAACGATGGTTCCACTAGCGACAAGTTTCAGTTGGTTGTGCCACGAACTCTGGAGACGCAGAAGCTGACAGCGGGCAGCGTAGTCAGCGCCGTAGGTCGTGTACAAGTGGCGCCAAATGGGCATTACGAATTGCACGCAGAGAATGTTCAATCAATAGGTAAATACATACATACATGTGTAGCTTATATAATAAATTCACACGACTCATATTTTATTTGTGTGCAGCGGAGGGTCATCTGCAGGACGGGTATCCGTTCTCACCCAAACAGCAGCATGCGCCGGAATATGTGCGAGAGCACCTGCATTTGCGTTCACGCATCGACTACATTGCAGCCCAAATGAGAGTCAGACACAAAGCACAGAAGGCTATACACGATTACATGGACGAGCTGAATTTTGTGCAGATAAACACGCCCATACTTACTACCAACGATTGCGAAGGAGCTGGCGAGGTAAGAGAACAGAAAAATTGCTTCGCTTAAAATAACCTTCCATACTCTTAAATGTAGGTCTTTCGCGTTCAACCCGAATCAGCGCAGTTGCTCAAGCAGATGTCGCGGCCTAATGTGCCCGTGGAGGAGAGTTATTTCGATCAGAAGGCCTTTCTGAGCGTCTCTGGTCAACTGCATCTAGAAGCAATGTCCTATGGCTTGGGCAACACGTACACGTTTGCGCCCGCCTTTCGTGCGGAAAATTCCAAATCGCCACTGCATTTAGCCGAGTTCTACATGTTTGAGGCGGAGCTTGTATATATGGAACAGCTGGATGAACTGGCGGCATTTATAGAGTGTACGCTAAAGGAAATTACTAAGCGCCTTCTCAACAGCAGTGCGTCCGATTTGCATTTTTGTCAGAGTAGGGCTAATGCCAGCTCAGACTTGGATTGGATGCAGGTGCCTTGGAAAGTTATGAGCTATGATGAGGCCTTGGCAGTGGTTGTGGCTAATAGAGATAAGTTTAAGACTCTTGTGAGTGCGGATGATGGGTTTAGCAAGGAGCAAGAGTTATTTTTGGTCGCACACTGCGGAGCACCCGTCTTTGTGCTCAACTGGCCTACACAACAGAAACCCTTCTATATGAAGGTTTCACGCAGCGATCCACAACGAGTTCATGCGCTGGATTTGCTGATGCCTTCTGTAGGCGAGCTGTGCGGCGGCAGCCTACGCGAATCTGATGCTGAGCTACTAAGTAAACATCCAAAATTTCCTAAGGACCTCTCTTGGTATGTGGAATTGCGCAAATATGGTGGCTTGCCCACTGGAGGCTTTGGCATGGGTTTTGAGCGTTATCTTCAGCTGTTGACGGGAGTTAAGAACATTAGGGACGTCATACCCTATCCACGGTATCCACACAGCTGCAAAATGTAATCAAGAAATATAGTTTCTTTCTATTTTTCATAAAAATGGTTATGGAACTACAAATGGGTTAAAGATAGTTCGCATTCAGGGCGCCAGGGAAATTCCAATTTGGAATAGCTGTGTACCCTATTTCCATGTGTTTATCCAAGATTATGGGACAGGGTTTACAATTGCCCCAACATTGGCTTACGTCCGGGCCACGCCTCTTTAGCATATTTCTTCTTCTGCGGACACATCGAGTCGCCCTCTCCACTTGTTTCATGCGCATCATCCACAAAGCGACGCACTGAAAATTACAAATTATAATTTAGGCTAAAAATCATATTCAACACTACATACCGTTAGCATTGGCCACAGCCAACTTTTGGGCTATTGACGAGCTGGGAATCAGCGGCTCCTCGAATGTGGGCGTTACATCTGGTGCCGGATTCGGTAACATGAGACCTAGTTTTGAGCCAATGCCCAGCGGGGAAATCGGTTCAAATTCGCTGTTGGCTTTGTGCTCATAGCTGCTGGCTGGCAATCCCTGATATAATGAATTGATTGGCGAGTGGCTAGCGGCTTGGGGTGTTGTTGGCAACTGTTGCTGCTGTTGTTGCTGATTTTGCTGTTGTAGCTGCTGCTGCTTCATCTCGACTAGGCTCTGCTGGAACATCTGATGAGTAGCATGAGCACTGGCAGCACTACTAGTACCTGTGTGCAGACCCATGTGATTTGGTTCATAGCGTGAACGTTTCGCTGGCACCACAGTTGTTTGGACCAGATTGCGAAACCGTCCAACATTTGGATCCACATCTTCGGGATTTATGATGATCTCCTCATCGTTAAAGGTGACATTGCGTCTCTTGCGTCCCTGCTTTAAAGCATTCTGTTTGCGTAAATTGTTGTCATCGGCAATGCCCAACATTGAGATACGGCGGTTGTGGGCCGTATTATATTCGGTCAGGTTCTGTGAGAAAGAATTTTTCAGCATTACTAGATAAGTATTAGATTATCTGGCCTTGACGTACATCCAGCTCAGTTTGGCTCTCGGGGAGACCAAGCAAAGTTCCGTCGCTCGTCTCGCTCATTGGCAGATCCTCCATAATATTACTATGCTGACCACCCGCTGAGGGCCGTTCCCGCAATATGTAGTTCCGTGTAGAGGCCCCAAAATGAAAGGTACTGTTGATCTGTAGCTGTGTGGGCTTATGCGCCTCCAGGCGTAGGTTGCCAATAAATGTTCCGTGGGCTGTAATGTCAAAAATTTACAATGAGTAAAGATGAAGTTTCATTATATTTGATTAGCCTACTGGAGCCGAGATCAACGAGGAAGGCAATGTTCAGGTGCTTGTGGTAGACAAAGGCTGCATGCACACGCGAACAGGATGCATGATCTATGCAGAAATCGTTCATTTGGCTATTCCGGCCAAATAAATAGCAACGTTTCTCGTCAACCATTAGCTTTTGAACCAGCTTGTCATCCTTGAGCACATCCAAATGCAGCCCAGTGGGCGGTTTGCCAGCCCAACTGGGTATATCATAACTGTTTGCCATTTAAAGTGCTTTACAAATTCAAAACGGTGCAACTTTTCGTTAATAATTTTAATTAAATGGGAGGTGTACACAATTTGTGTACCGGCAATAACTTATAATAATATACTATTAAATACCAAATGGAAAACGAAATCGGGTGAATGGCAAATTAATTTTATATAAGAACAAGTTGGCATGTCTAACAAGTAAACAATGAGCAGGGACTATATAACCAATAATTATATAGAAAGTGCAAGAGTTTATTTAAAATTAGGTGGACCTGCTGAAATTTTTATTAAATGTTGTCTTTGCGAAATAGATGGGTTTGCAGACTGGGTGCTGTTTCTCAGGCATTTGAGAACAAGCCATGCCGCGGACCAATGGGAGGGACAACACGCACCGAACTTGAATTTGGAAATCCAGGCCGAAGTTGAACTGGAGCTGCAAAATCTAAAAAAAATAAACAGCGAATATGAGGGTTCAGATGTGGAGGCAGAAACTGATAACTTTAATTTGGATGAAGTAGACTTGAATATGCAGCTAGGAGCGGAAGTTGAGGACGTGCTGACTTTCAAGGAACCGGCTCAGGTAAGTGGAATTTTATTAATGAATTCTATTATTATTAATTAGTTTCCACCCAGAACAACAACCGGCCATTCTATAGCATGCAGCATACTCGCCCAGAGCTTCTGCTTGACTTTATTGATCAAATGCATCAACATGAATATCTATGGCGAAAGGACCACAGAAACGAAGACTTCAAGGAAGAGCGCATGAAAAGTGCCCAGGAAATAGGTCAAAGGCTGGCAGAACGTTTCAATGTGGCACTCAGTCCACAAGTGGTCTGTCGCAGTGTCTGTGAGCTTATTAAATGGTTCCAGAAGCAGCATGCAATGTGTAAAGCAAATTCCAGATTTCGCTGCCGCTATCAATCGTACTACGAGAAATTGTTGGAGTTCCTTCCCACTCAGGATATTCAAATGTTAAACTGCGATGAGTGCGAGCGATGTTTTTACAATGAAGAACACCTGCGAAGGCACAAATATCGTGCACACAGCGGCAGCTATCCGTATGTCTGTGATGTGTGTCATATGGGCTTCTCCCATGCCAGCAAATTCCGCTTACACAGGATTCGTTACCATGAAGATAAGTCGAACCGTTGGCAGTGTACTTTTTGCAGCTATTGCGCCCCAAACAAGTGGGATTTGCGCGCACACTTGCCTACGCACAGTGGAGAGCGTAAATATACATGTGAATTATGTGGGGTTTCAACCAAGTCCAGCTCTTCTTTGGCTGTGCATCGACGCACACATTTGGCGCCCGCGGTGAATTGTCCGTATTGTCCAAAGAAATATCGTGAAAACCATTTGCTTAAGTGTCATATTAAAAAAATGCATGCCGTGCAGCTTGAACACGAGCTGGATTAACACTCATTGCTGCAGAATTAGCATTTAAAATAAGCTAAAATATTTATTAAAAAAATAAAAAAATAAATAGGAGTTTCCAATTGTTTTGTTTTGTATTTCCTTATCAAAGTAAGATTTCAGGCTTCGATAACATTTAATCACTGTTTGTCATTCACACAAAATGATAATAGAGTTGCAACCCTGAACTAACGCGACGGCGTCACATTGTTAATGCTTTTTTAATGTCTGCGCTTCTAGAACGGCTAGATGAACAATATTTTTGCGTTAGTGCGCGACACAACAAAATAATTTCAATTTCTGTTTATATGCTGTCAATAAAAGCAATAGCCATCGTCGCCGCATAACTCTAACCCGTTTTAGATGTGCCAACATGGCGCACAAGCGATTAAAAACAGAGGGCATGGAAACGAATTACAAATTTTCGTGTCGCTGTTGCCTCAAATCCGAAGCGGAATTCTACAAACTAGACTCGCTAATCGAGTGCGGCAGTGGCGAAAATGACGCGTCCTCTACAAAAATACCCCTACTGCGTTTACTATTATTCTGCATGCGCATCGAAAATCAGCCCGAGCTGCCGCAATACATATGCGTGGAGTGTAGTAAGAGTTTGCAAATCTCCTACTATTTCATACAGAACGGACTGAGAGCACATGAAATACTCTGTCGGAAACTGTGCCCCGGCAAGCTAAAGCTAAACTCGACGCGTTCCAATGGTCAACAGCCAACACAAAGGCTCGAGGTGGGTGTGAGAGGCAATTGCCCTGTGATTGTGTGTGTCTGGGTGTGTGTTTCAAGCATTTGTTTTGATTTTATTGCAGTCCAACGAGAGCGAGGATGCGTCGCTGTCCAGACTCTGGGATCAAAAGCCACAAAAGTCTATGACGCGGCACGAATGTAAAGTATGCGGTACCATGGTATACAATCGCATGGAGCTCAAGCAGCACATACGCATGCACGCAGGTAAGAAAGGGATGACTCAGGTGTATTTTGACAGTTTGTTATTATGTGAACGTTGAATACTCTTTTATCATGAAACGTGTATCGTTAAATTGCACGCCTATGTCAACGTTTGGTAAACACCCTAGCCAATTATGATGCGACTCTGTTATTGTCCAATTGTAAAATAGCTGACGACATTGTGTCGGGAATCGAGTAATCGCCTCAGTCGAGGATAGACTGAAAATATTCGATCTATTTCAGTTAATTTATATATATATATATGTATGCTATTTATTTAATTGTACTTATAACCTATGTGGTGCTAATTCGTAATTGGCATTGAATATCGCTAAGTTGAAAGTGACTTAAAACTAATTTGCAACATTTTGTACTTTCTACGCACGCACACTCAAATCCGGACGCTCATACAGATGCATCGAGTCATCAGTGCAAATTGTGCAGCTTTGTCACGTACAAGCACCGCCAGCTGCCGGAACATTATCGCAAAGTACATGGCCTGACGGCTGCCCAAATTGAGCATCAGCTCAAGATCCGCAGATCCATGCAGGCAGCTGCAAACGCAATAAAATCACCGCCAAAACTACCAATAGAACCAGGAGATGGCGAGGAGCAAGTGAAGGTCTGCACTCTGGAGGATATGGAACTGTTGATTCCCACTGTGCTGACGCCAGAAGATTTTTCGCATCCTCAACTTGATGCGGATCAGCTGCGTGATATAGAGCAACAATTGGCGAACTCGTTGCCCGTCGTACAGTCCACCACCCAGGCGGCTGAGCCAACAATAGGGTGTGGCAATAGCGGCAATGTAAGCATAGGTGCCGAGTTTCTGGTCATGCCCGATGGCTCCTTGCAGCAAGTGAATGATGGCGGTGTGGTATTCGAGTACATTGACGACAGCAAAAACGGCAATGGGGCGGCACCTAACATGACATTACAGAGCCTACTGGATGATTCCAAGCCTGACTTGACATATAGTGCAATGGACATCGACTTAAGTCATATGTCTGTGGGCAATGTATTGCCACAGATAAAAGGTGTGTCCTTCAACTCATTTACTCATTTTGGTAATTGCTAACTAAGATTTGCTCTCTATTTGTAGTCAAGCCGAAGGCACGACCAGCTCCCGCGTCTACTGGCGCACTGAAACATAAATGCAAGCTGTGTCCAAAAGCATTTCCCACGATGGCACGTCTGAAATCTCATCAATTAACGCATAGTCGTGAGTCAATGTAAATTAAGAAAGCGCACTTTATCTTAACAATGGTTCCTTTATAGATTTGCCAAAATTCTATTGCGATCAGTGCTCCTATTATTCGCTACGCAGCGCCGATCTCATCCAGCATTATACGACGGAACACAAGTCCAGCGTTGGCGATAATCGTTCGAATAATTTGGATAGATCCCAATTACTTTTGCCGGCAGATAAAAGTCGCATTTATTCCTGCGATATGTGTCTGTTCGAGGCGCCAACCAGTGGGCAACTGCGTGTGCACTACAGCGATAAGCATCTGATAGTGCCCAGTGAGGTGCAACTGCGTCCCAGTTGGACGCATGAGCCGAAGCAGGGGGGCGCTAATACAATGGTAAACAGTGGTAATGCTTCCAGCCAGCCTGATATTCCAGTTGCCATAAAATGTAAGACTAATAATTTCAATTACCAATTCAGTGCGATTTAAACAAACAATTTTGTATTTTAAGATCCTTCCATGACGTCAGCGGCATCCACTGCATCAACTACATTAACAACTCCGTGTGCGCCACAAATTATGGAATCAACAACGACAACAACAACTGTGGGAACAACTATGAATGAGCTAAATGTTGTGGTGGATACCACACCATTGTTCTATGCAGCAACTGCAGAGCAGTTACCGAATACTGATGCGACAACATCAGTAACAACGGCAGCTACAGAGTCAAATACATTTTCAATGTTCCCAGAGCAATCGTTTGCTAACAGCCTGACAACACCAACAAAAACACCGCCAACAATTGCAGCAGATGCAAACGGTGTGGGAATCGCCACATCGGCCACAACAAATCCAAACACAAGTATATTTGGTGATATGCAAGATTTTATAGATAATACCGATGTGGCTGCCATTTGTACCATACCCGCCGATGATATGCCTGTCGTTGATGGAGATGATATTGTTATTGATAACAATAATATCAGTTTGGACTTTGATGCGGAAAATCTATTCGAGGATTTTGAAGATGTCGAGGTTGGCGAAGAGGATGAAGAAGACGAGGAGGATGCTGAAAATGAGGATGAAAATGACAACAACGATGCGGCTGCTGATCAGAATCTGTTGCTTACCAGTGACGATGACGATGTTGACGACTTCGATGATGAACAATCGAAGCATCTGCAGAAACCGTATTGCATCCATTGTAATAAGAAGTTCACCAGCCAATATAAGTTCGAGAATCACATGTTCGTGCACCGCGGTGAGTGAATCTACTAAATGTTTGTTCTTTGTTTAACTTCATTGAGTTGTTGCTCTGTAGGTTTGGCGCCGTATCGCTGTGAGCTGTGCACCAATTTGTATAATATGAAACGACTGCTCATTCGACATTATAAGACGGTGCATAAGCGCATGCCCACACGGGACATGGTGCAGGCCAAGGGCGACAAGGTTTCTGTGGCTCGTACAGCCATTGAGAAGATAAATGTTCACGTTGACAAAAGTAAGTACTTGGAGTATCTGAATAGAGTGTTATCATATCATGAATATATATAAAGTTAGATAGATAAAAGAAAAATCAAGAATTGAAACTGATAGTCTTAGGGATCCGCTAGGAATAGCCGATAATAAAAAAGGATGCGAGTTCATCTAACTCCTAAGAATTTATTTATATGTCTAGAAGCTATTTTTGTAGTGCGTGAACCAAGATCAGAAAATTAGTTCCATATTTTATAAATTCGTCTATTTTCATTTTCAGTACTAACGTTATTCCTTTGTCTTTTCAGATCCTATGGTAATGTGTGCTAAATGTCCATTTGAATGCGAACAGGAGGGTGAAATGCGCAAACATTTAAGTGCGCATCATGGCATTAATGATGGTGGTAAATATATTTATATTAAAATTAAAACTACATTTAAACAAACAATTTTCCACGAAAATATGTACAGGGTCTACGCATGCCAATGAGGTGTTTATCATACGCAGTAAGTAACAATATTGTAATAACAATATTTATAAAACATGAATTATTGAAGCAATTTCTTTCATCTGAGTAGAATTGCCTTATGACTGTCCACGCTGTATTCGGTCCTTTGCGGCTAAGCGCACGCTTATAAGACATCTGCAGCGTAGCCATTTAGTGGACACAATTATTGAGATGCAGGCGCCTCAATTGACAACTAGTTCAGCGGCAACCACGACCACATCGACGGCAACAACTACATTGCCGCTCAACGCCAGTGATGGCAATATATCAACAACAGCAACAACAACATTGGGGACAACAACTCCACTAGATTCGAACATATTGGGGCAGCATTTCTCGGACTCTGTGGATGGTGATGGCAATGGCAGCGGTGGAGGCGATGGCAACGGCGATGGCGATGGCAATGGAAAATGCGGTAAGAGGGTCAATAGCGTAGCAACAATGAATTCAAACTCAAATTCCAAATATGCCCAACACATGCCGGAACAACAACAACAACTGCAACAACTTAACGTTTCAAATGCCAATTTAAAAATGTTTTTTAACTACGCTGATGCTCAATGATCCTTGTTCATCGTCGCTAGACAGGGACACAGGATTCACAACGGAAAATGTAACCACAAATACACAAACCGAAGCACCAAAAGACACAATCGATGCAACCACAACTGAACCTACTGAACCTACTGGATCAACAGAACCAGCAAACACTAACACCACAGAAGCAGAAACACCATCAATAACAACAACAAGTGAAGAAGGACCAGCAACAACAGCAACTGCTGGCTCAGCACTCTTTCCAACGCCCACTCCATTTGACTTCGATCTTGATTTTATAGGCGATGGAGAGCATGCCACGACCATTAAGAACAGCGACAGCTTCAGCATTGAACCCAATCACAGTCACCTATTGAATGGAACCGATAAGCTACTGACTGCTGCGTTAGAGCCATCGCCAGTTAAAGACCTGCGCTCGCGCCTACCCCGTACCCCCATCTTTGTGTGCAAGCAATGTAATCACACCTTCGATGAGCTTGGCAAGCTGTTGCAGCACGAGCTGGAGCAACATTCCAGCGGCATTATATCGCCGCGCAATAGTTACCAGCATCAGTGCAAGATCTGCAATACAACATACCGCACTGTAACGCTACTTAACTATCACATGAAACGGCATACGACAGTAAAAGTTCCATGCAAACAGTGTCCTAAAGAGTTTGCAAACACATCCGAATTGGAGTCGCATTTACTGGCGGAGCATAGCGTCGGAGCACAGACGCCTCTCAAATGCGGCATTAATGGCTGCACTAAGACATTTAACTACAAGCATCATCTGAAACGACATCAGACTGCCTCCCACACGGCCGTACAGTATATTTGCCCGGAATGCGGACGCGATATGCTTACTAGTCTGCATCTCAGGAATCATATGTCCAGCCATAAGAGCACACACTCTTACAAGTGTCCCAAATGTGTGCGCACCTATATGAGGCGCAATCCGTAAGTTTTGATTTATTCTTTATATATTCCGAAATAATTATATTTGAATACAAATTATTTTGCTTTCCTTTTTTAGTTTTCGCAGACATGCGCTACGTGAGCACAAGTGGGAGCTGACCGAGCAGGAGATTGATCAAATTTACTGTATTAATGATATACCGACTTTGGGTAAATTTCGTGAGCGTAGATCGTTGAAGGTTGAGATCGACCAGTCCGACTAGCCAGCCATCTGACGCATCAAGCTGAAAGTAAAAATGATAAGAATTGTGTAATTTAATGGCAACCTGTACAAAGATATTTGTAGTATAAGCATACAATGTAACACTCATCTAAACGCTTTAATGCATACCTTATTTTAGATTTACACTTAACATGGCAATCAAGTATGCTTATATTTTAGATATATAAGTATCCAGTTATATATCTAAGATATGCATATCGAAATAGTAAATCGAGTGTTATTTGTTCATACCTTTGTGAAAAGGTATTATTATTATGGTTACGTAGAGACATTATAAGCATTAACTCAGTTTTTATTTAGCATCTCCAAGATTTAAACATTCATGTAAAGCACATTTATAATATACCTGCATCATTACTTAAATCTATTTTGTTAACAGTAATAAAGTTTAATTGTTTAGTAATGCATCTACATCAATTTGAAGTGCTGTCTTTGCCATCAATGCGTACATTAATTAGTATCTGTATAACTTATATATATGTACATATAATTGTATAAATATAGAGTACTTAGATATTAACCTGTCCAAACCTAAGTTTTAAAGACAATTCTTTTCTAAAACAAAAGTGTATTTCTTTAACTAGCTGATTAAATTGGACTTGTGAGTCCATCATTACCTAATTAATATAAACGAAACTTTAAATGATACTTATTTATTTTGATCTAAAAATGATATTTTATTTGGTCTCAAGAAGGGCATTGTCAATAAATTTATTTAAATCATATTGATTTCTTCAATATTTTCTTATTCGATTTACGCGGGTCAGTGAGGAATTTATCTGGACATATCGTAAATGACTATCGATAAATGTTAGTGAATATCGAATAGAATTTAAACGCTTCAGGGATCCGCTTATAATTTCTTTGAAGTATAATAATAATTTTCTTGATTTTGAGTTTTCATAATAAAACTAATAAATTCCGTTTATAAGTTTTTTTTGTACCCATTTTGAAATGGTAGATATGTCAATTCAAATAAACATGGTTGCTATGCCGTGGAACTTGTTCATAAGGCATCGATTCAGTTCACACTAAACTCTCTTGTTCGAGATTCTCTAATATTTCGAGAGTGCGAAAAAACAAGTGAAAAGCCAATGCGGCATTGTCAAATTGTAATCCATACAAATAACTCATTTTAAACAAATAAATACAGTGAAAAAGACTTTACGTGCGTATATACAGACAATTGACTTGCATACGAATGGCCGCCGCAGCGGATGCTGCAAAATCCAACGCGCTGCTTGCTATGAACAAAGTGAACAACACAAAATGCCGCGCGTGCCTCTCAGTAAGTCGCCAGACCGTCAAACTGGATGCAAAAATACCGGATCTGAAAAATGCGCGCACCTATGGTCAAGGCCTACGCCAGTGTACGAATCTACCGTTAACGGCTCGCTCACCCGGCGGCTACAGGTGGCCCATGCAGATTTGCGTTCGTTGCTGCCGAGCCCTTGAGGTAACGATGCACTTCGTGGAGCTCGCCCTGGAGTCCAATCGTAAACTATTCGCCGAGTCGCAAACCCTTAAGCTGTTGCCGCCGGCACAGACGACCTCGCCGACCACGACAACAGGTGAACTGAAGCGAAAAGCTAGCAGCGAGCTGCTGCATTGGAATCAATTCAGTCAAGAGTTCCAACAGTTCGTGGAGAGTTACGATGGTGTATCCGCGCCCATAGAGGAGAACGTACTTTATATGCGCGGTGCAAAAATGCCACGTCTAGACACTGATGTTACGTTTACCAACGAGCCACCTAAGGAGGATGAAAGCAAGCATACGTAACTAATAGTTATAGAAATGTATCTTAAATTTATTTGCTTTGCAGTTATTATCTTTGATGTCAAGTATGATAGCAATGATCAGGATGAGGAGGATGAGAACGATGGGTCGGATGCGAAGAACAGTGAAACCTTCTATGACAATAGTATTAATATCAATGAAAGCAAAAGCAGCGAAAACAACAATAATTATAATTTTAATAACAAAAATGGTGATTTATCCGGTCTGCCGGATGCTGAGTGCGATCTCATACAGCGCGCTCTCTATATGACTCTGAACGATGATAATAACAGCGGCCAAAGCAAGCAGGAACTGCAATCCATTGAATCCATTAAAGCGACGTTATTAAAATGTAAGCACTAAGCTCAAAACTCTCTGATGTGTAATTGATTTAAATCTACATTGTTAATTTGAAGCTACGGAGGAACTGAGTGGTTCAAGTACCAGCTCCACGGCCACCACCTCAAAGGTAAAGACCAGTAAAGAAGTGAATGTGAACATACCGTTGCTCAGTTGCACTATCTGCAAGCATACGCACACGGATGCCAAACAGATGCGCACCCATTATATGAGAATTCACAATTGTGATGTGCCCGAGGATGATATCATTGGACTGACGAAAAGTAAGGCTTGGCTAACCTACAAGTGTTATAACTATATAATAATGCAATATTCATAGATCAAAGCTTTAAATGTCGACCTTGTAATAGCTATGTGACCAATAGTCGCACGGACATGCAGCAGCATCTAATAGAGCATCACAAAATTGATGGCGATTTTGGTGCGTATTTGATTATAAGACAAAAAAAAAAAAATTCAATTCCTAAGGGTTGATCTTAATCCTTTGCAGAAATGTATTGCTACGTGCAACAGAATTGTCCCGCCTGTGGACGCATTTTCAAGGATCAGCGATCGGCTCGCACTCACTATACAAGAATGCATACGCTTCAACAGCAGCAGCCATTGGGTGCAGATATTGCAGAGCAGCAATTTATATGCACCGACTGCGACAAGGTGTTCAACTTGAAGAGCAGTCTGCAGGCGCATCAGCGCTTCTGCCAGGTGAAGCAGCCTGTGCACTGCAATTTTTGTGAGCAACAATTTAGCAGCATGCGCAAATACGAGTTGCATTTGCAGCAACAGCATGCAGTGGATACCTTGCACGAATGTGAAATATGCTTAAAGAGCTTTAAGAACAGCGAATCGCTGTCGGTGCATCGCAAGCGGCATTCAGAGCGGCACTATCAGTGTGCGAAGTGTTCGCTTAACTACATCAATGCGGCCGAGCTGCGTGTGCATTATGAACGTGCCCACGTGCAGGAGGAAGAGGTGGTCAGCTGTCGCATTTGTGACAGTAAATTTCAAAATTTTGCCTTACTGCGTGAACATGAGCAGCGTAATCACCAGAAGTCAAAGATTTGGCGCTGCGACAATTGCAACTTCGAGACCAATTCACGGGCGCGTCTGCGACAACATCAATACGAGCATACAGACTATCCATACAAGTGCCAGCACTGCCCCGAAGAGTTTGCTGATCGCGGCAAGTAAGTGTGCTGATTTTACATGAAAATATAAGAAATATTTAAAAGTTTTGTATTTAAGGATACGTCAACATTCCAAGAAGATGCATGCGGTGGAGCTAACGGATGAGCAGCTGGCCGAAATGTTTAGAGAACGCATTGGCTATACCAATCGACATGATGCATTCAGCAAGAGTAACAACTCATTGGAAATACCAGGCTTCAGTGATGAATGCTTTGCAGAGCTTAAAAGCATGGGCTTGGACTACGATGATATTACAACCGATCTCTTTTCGAATTCCATTAACGCGCTGGACAATCTGCTTGAATTGGTGCCATGAAGCATGAAGAGCAACGGATACATTTACCTGTATAGAATTTTAAGGATCAACGATGAATAGCTAACGAGAACTGGAAGACTGTTTGCACCTATCAATCAATCAAACCATTCATCATGCAGTAATAATCAAAAGCCGTTATCACAAAGCATACCTTGCACAACCTAGCTCCGATTTTAAATTGTATTTCGTTTACCCAAAACCAATTCACCAATTCCACATACCCTTGAAAGTAGGGTATACACACACAATAGTTTGTTCATATATATTTTGAAGTAAATAAACAAAAAATCAAGTGCTTCGAAAGCGCGCCCGAAAATCCGGATTAATTAGATATTCTTTTCGTGCGAAACATTTTAATCTTCGTATTTAAACTATTTCAATTTTTGTAAGCATTTGCACAGTGCTCGATTTATTTACTAATTAACGCCCTGAATAAACTTTGAGAGAAAATCTGTTGGTTTGGGATCCTGCGATTCCTTCCAATAGCGCATTATGTGCCCCTTTTGCTTCCAGATCTCCACAGTCTCCTTTAGCTCCATTTGGCCCTGTATTTGATTAGGCAAATAATCATAAATTAAGGACAGCGATCATCATCTGAAGAAGACTCACCTTGATGACCAGCATGTCAATCACACGAATGTCAGTCACTTGACGATGCTTGACGAACTCCTCGCGCAATTTGGATCGGCACTGCTCGATGCTCATAGGAATATCGTAATCCATAACTGTTCGCAAAAAGAATATTGTTTATTTGTGGTAGGCGCCGGGACAGTTTGATGACATAACGAACGGACTTACCAATATAAGGAATCTGACGGTACCAGGCCTTGTACAGATTAAGAGCACGTTTGCGTGCTTCTTCTCTGTCCACGGACAATATGGGACGCACCTGTTGCACGGCACGTTTGACGGCTTCACGTCCAGCCATGTTCTTGTCTCTTAATGATTTTGTTAGCAAAAAATTTCGTTGCAAAAGGTTTGTGCTGCTTCTTCCAAACAGCTGAGCCAAGTGCCAGTTTCGATTAAACTCGATTGTTGCTTAGGTACACTAAAAAAAAGTGCTGCAAAACCCTTGGAGCGGATATCGATAATTTGTATAGCCGCTGCGCGCTTCAATTCAAAAGTTATGCTCACTGTGGGTTACAAGCGCAGCATATGTTAGATTTTAGTCATGCTTTTGCTCATTGTTTGTACCGCAGTATTGTGGGAATGTAAAGGACAGTTATTGTAAGCCCCCAGACCATGCATAAAAACTGCACATTGTCATTGTAACAATAATAGAGACAGCTGAGTCGAAAAAAATACACTTTCATTCACTAAAGCTACCTATTGTGGCTTTTGTGCTGTTGACGCTGTTGTAGTTGCTGTTGTTGTTGTTGTCGTTGTTGTTTTTAAAGCTGTTGGCGCTGAGTGCGCGCGATGTTGACCGATCGACTCCGACTTTGCGCTCAGTTTAAAACACGTTATGCGCCTGTGCAGAGCGTTTTTGCGCTTTAACAATTTAAAAGTCGTGTGTATTTCGAAAGTTATTCTGTCCTCTATTGAACAAAACGCGTGTGATTTGCAGTAACAACTACGCCGACGAAATACTGTGTTACGTTTTCGGTGTTTGTTTGCAGCAACATTTGTAGTAATTTATTATGCAAATGCAGTAAGCGCGCTATAAACATTTTTTGGTAGGTCAACAATTTCTATTTTAATTGGCAGCGCCCAACAATTTACCATATGAGAAAAGAAAGCTGCAAAATATGATATCGGACATAACATATCACACACACATATACAATATATGGACGAACTGTATTTATTGTGCATAATTAAGCCAATCAAAAATGCTTTCTGCTGTCGGCATTTCTTAACATATATGTGGAATTAGACAGAATTGCGTGCGTGTGTATTTCGTTTGGCTTGGTTTGGTTTTGTTCTTCGTTCGGCTCTTGCAATAAATTGATACAATTTGAAAAGCTGAAGCGACGTGTCGCTATCTGGACCAATATAAATTTCATATATGATA